ATATTCCTAGAGAACTCACCCAAGGGTGAATGAGGAAGCCCTGTTCCTGAGCATCTTCTCCTCTCCCACGGACACTATGGCCCTCTGCGTTTCTGTCAAATTGTGAACTATTTTGCCAAACTCAGTTCCTATCCAGTTCAAAATAAAAACTTCGACGGAATGAAAAGCCAGATTTAATGGCATTGGTTTGTGGGGGCGAGTCCAGGTATATGAGACACACTTGATATCAGATGGATGAACAGTGTGGACATTGCTCCAAATAGGGGTGAGTGTAATGTTTTAAATGGTAATTCAGATGAGCATAGAGATCCTAGAAATAGTGAGCCAAAAGCTTCAGAATCCTTGAGATTCATTAATGAAGGTTGTGGTTCTGAATGATTCATCTGCCCCTGTGCATCTAGACAAAAAATTGGTTTCATTTTTCTTTTTTAGCATTCTCTGCACACAGGAACTGACATTTTAGCTCCTTATGGTGTGTTTCCAGTGGAAAGTCCCCTTGTTGGTGCTGGTGATTGCAGCTCAGGTCATATGTTGGCAGAACAGGAGGAGGCAAGCTTGGGAATGATCCAGTTCAGAATGTCTGAGACCAGAACGTTAGAGCTGGTGACTAGGACCAAACCCAGCTGTTGACTCACTGGATAAAGGAACCATAATGCAAATCATGATCTAGATCCATAAAATGTATCTCTTTGTTACCATATCACATGAAATGGTTGTCCAGATTGTACTAAACTTTGGAAGATATGTTTAGGATGGTCTACTTTAAAATGGAGAACATGTTGTATATATGCCATTTGTACATATTAGAATATTTTACACAGAGAAAACAAATAATAGATTCAATGATGAGCCCCAAATGTAAAGCCACAGGTAAATGATGTAAGATGCAGGGATCCGTTTGGAATCATGGAGCTTCTCATGCAGAGGTCTCTGTAGCATGATCCAAAGCGATTCGCAGCAGAAGTTTATTTAACAATAATAGCAAATGTAATGGTAACCGTACTAATGTCTATTATCATTGATTAAATGCCAGTGGTTAAGAGCTTGGCTGCTAACCAAAGGGTCAGTAGTTGGAATCCACCAGCCTTTCCTTTGGAAACCCTATGGGACAGTTCTACTCTGTCCTGTAGGGTCTCTATGAGTCGAAATTGACTTGACGGCAACCGGTTTGTTTGTTTGGGCTGGACCAAGCACTATGCTACGGACTTCACATAGGTGTTGTGGTTCTCATTTTGGAAAAGAATATGGATGTTCAGAGAGGTTAATTGTACCTATTCAATATACCAAAGGAGTGACATATTAAATATGCCTTTGAAAAAGTGGAGCCAGTGTTGAACCAGCCTCAGGTTGCTTTGGAGATTTCCTGTTTAGTGGCTACTTAGTGAACTTCCAAAAGGTTGGAGGTTTGAGTCTACTCAGAGATGCCTTGGAAGAAAGGCCTGATGATCTACTGAAAAATCAGCCATGGAAAACCCAGTGGAGCATAGTTCTACTCTGACACACATGGCACTGCCATGAGTCAGAATCCACTGGAAGGCAACTGGTAGTAGTAGTAAATCTCACAGCTTTCCCACCTGGGCCGGTGTTTAGAAGGAACATTACTATCAGAATCTTTGTCCCAGGCTTTCTTATCCCCAAGCTCCAATATTAACCCTCTGCATATATTTTTCTGCCAGAGAGAAGCAGAGTTGGTACCTGTGTTTAAATAAATATCTCCCCAAATGTCACTGTGTTCTTGATGCATCTTTTCCACAAAAATCCACTGTCACCATGGTACGCCCTTGTGGCCTACTCACC